CAGCAGCGAGCACTTGTTCTGGGTCGACTTTCAGTATCCATTGAATATTGTTCACTGCAAACCGATGATTTGAGTAGTTTCCTAGGGGGTTTTAGATCTTACGAGAGAAAAAGAATGAGAAAACTGCCGATCTCAGACGTATCCTCGCAAATTTCTTTCCTGCGGCATGACACGAAGCTCTCTCATCATCATTCGGGTTAGGCCTGATAAAGACCTTCTTCCTTTCGGTACTTATTGGAAAACTTGCCCGAGTCTCTCGACGCTGCCGAACGTGAAGCCCCAGGTACGAAGGCACTGTCCACCTCGGAGCCTTCGTCGTTCCTCGCCGCGGCGGCTCTCGATTCGGCATGTACCCGGGGTGCAGCCACGTCCTCGTCGACCGTTGAAGCTCCTCCGGTCGACTCGCTCGCCGCATCCGCTCCGGCCTCGCTCCATCTCGCTCTTTCGGACTCGCTCATCGACCAACCGTCGCTCGCTAGGCCTCGCGTCTCCCCCTCGCCCGCAAGGATGCTCGGGCATGCGTCGGCAGCGCCGCTTCCGAGCTCGCCTTCGTCCTCCATGACGCCAGCGGTCCGAGCGCCTTCCTCGCTTCCTCGCCGTCCCGAAAGTCGCGGTCTTCTCGACTTCTCGGTGCCGGCTGGAACGTCGCTACTCATGGTAAAGATTATTTCAATTTTCTGTCGAAGAAGGCAGCAGTGGAGGAGAAAGGTGTGATATCCAGGTTACGGATTCCTCTGTTGAGACGTGTGACGTCTTCAAACATCACGAAAGTGTTCGCGGCATCCAAAAATTTGAATTGCAATTGCACTAACAGGAGGCGTGGAAGAAATTCGGCGATCAAATGGAATCAGACTACCACACTACCATCAAGGTGTTCTGGCAAATCATCCGAAGGTTACGGCAAGGTAGGCAACATACGCTCCGGGTCAGCAAAGACCGAAACGGGGAGGTGTTGGCTGCCGAGGTGGATATACTTGGGAGGTGGAAGGAACACTTCGAAGAGCTCTTAAACCCACCAACAGTGGGAATTGACACCCCCGACCCGGAGCCTCTCAGCGCGGAGACTAGTCTCACCATGGAGGAAGTTCTGCAGGTCATTGAATGGAATGGAATGGCCTGAAAAATGGAAAGTCTCCTGGTGTGGTTGAAATTTGGGCAGAGACTGAAAGCAATGGGTACAGATAGGTGCTCGTGGCTTTATAAGGTGTGTAAGGCTGCTTGGGAATCGGGAACAGCACTTAGGGATTGGCAAACAGGTGTGATGGTTCCTCTTTTTAAGAAGGGGGACTCGAGGGAGTGCACGAACTACCGTGGGATCACTCTCCTCAGCATACCTGGTAAAGTTTATTCCAAAGTGCTGGTACAGAGAGCTCGGGCAGTCGTGGGTGAAGCCATCCAAGAGGAGCAGTGCGGCTTTCGTGAAGGGCGTAGCACCACGGACCAGCTGTTCACTCTCCACCAGATCCTCTAGAGACATTGGGAATGTGTCAAATATGTTTACATGTGCTTCGTAGACCTTGAAGAAGCTTACGACCGTGTACCCCGAGGGAAACTGTGGGGAGTGCTGCAGGAGTATGGGATCAAGGATCAACTATTGCGGGCCGTTCAGTCCCTATATAATGATTGCAGAAACTGCGTCCGAGTGAGCGGGAGGAGTGAGGATTGTTTTCTGGTACGCGCTGGATTCCGGCAGGATTGTGTCCTCTCACCTTTCCTGTTCCTCGTGTACATGGACAGGATCTGTAGGCGCAGCCTCGGCCCGGAGGGGGTGAACATCGGTGACGTCGCGGTAAGGATACTTCTCCTTGCCGACGATGCTGTCCTATTGACCCGCTCTCGACAGGAGCTCCAGAGTGTGCTCGATCGGTTCGACTCCGAATGCACTGCGGCCGAAATGAAACTGAGCGTCTCCATGACACAGGTCATGGTCCTCTCGAGAAATCCTGCTCAGTGAACCCTGCATGTCAGTGGGGTCCCATTAGAACAGGTGGAGAAGTTCAAGTACCTCGGGGTCTGGTTCTCGAGTGATGGGCGACCTGGAAACGAGATCGACAACCGCATCTCCAAGACTTCTGCAGTTCTGCGGGAACTTTGACGAACCGTGGTGGCCAGATCGGAAGTTTCTAGGAAAGCGAAAAAGTGTCAATTCTCCACCCTCACCTATGGTCATGAACTTTAGGTAATGACCGTAAGCACCAGATCGCGGATACAAGCTGCCGAAATGAGGTTCTTGCGTCGAGTGGCTGACGTAACGCGCCGTGATCGGATGCGGAACTCTGCCATCCGCGAGAGTCTCCACGTCGAGCAGCTGCTTCTCCGGATCGAGAGGTCTCAGGCCAGGTGATTCCGTCACGTCTGCCGCATGCCCCCTGAGAGGCTCCCAAGAGGAGTCTTCCAAGCCAAGATGACCGGCAAAAGACCTGGGGCCCATTCCACAGAAGATTTACAAGCTACAAGTTACAAGTCTATTACTTGTAAATCAAGTTTCTGTTCCACAAAATAAAATTGTACAAGGAAGATTTACAAGTATAAGTAAGGAAGATTTACAAGTATAAGTAAGGAAGATTTGCAAGCGAATTGAGTTTGGGAAAATTGATTCTGTTCCACAGAGCCAGATAAGTACAAGACTTGTACTTGTAGCTCTAATTCCTACAAGACTTTCAGGCTTGGTAAATATATTTTCTGCTCTCCTGTGTCTAGCATAGACGATGGATTTTCCTGTTGTGACCATTTCATAGGGCAATATAGGCATAGTTTTAATGTGGTACAATACAGTAGAGTCGGGCTCATGTGATTACGTCGCAAAAAATCTTGAAATAATAAAATCCAGCGCCGCAGGAAATGAAATACCTGACTATAAGCATTGGCAGCTAAAGAATGATCACAGCAACTTTTCTTGGCGCCCTCTTTGATAGAATTAACCTTGAATGTAAGTGTCGACTTTGTCTGGTATACTACTAATGGACTCGAACAGTTTCCCCACTTTGTTGAGCAAATCGATTGCACCCTATCTGGAGTATGTAGACTCTGACCTCCAGGCCAAGACATGGCGTATTCGACTCTGCATATCCAGCTCCTCGTCATAAGAGATATCCATACGCTTTCATTAATGAAACCTCTTTTGGTGTCATTTCACGAGTGCTGCTCGATAGAGAACTCCGGAATGCACTCAGAACTTGTAATATGAGCTGGCTCCAGTGCCTCGTACTTTTCGGTTTACAAGCATTTGCGCAAACTCCGTGGAACAGAAAATACAAATACTTGTAAATACAGCCACTCCACTTGTAACTTGTAGCTTGTAGCTTGTAAATCTTCTGTGGAATAGGCCCCTGTAGGTAGACCTCGTACAAGTTGGAGTGATTACGTCTCTCGGATTTCTCGAGAGAGGCTCGTCATCGCACCAGCTGAGCTTGAGTCTGTTGCCCAGGATCGAGATCATTGGAGGACGCTCCTGGGGATGCTCGAACCGCGATCCCATGAAGTTGGGAAAAGCAGCTTAGAAAATGTATGCATGTATTACACTAACCTTATTTGACTTCTATTCATCCATCCGCACACTCCATGAGGATCGAAATTAAGTGCCGTGGTAATTAAGCTCTCATTGGCTCGAGAGGTTGCCGATGACATCAATGCACGATGGGGGTGCAAAAGTAGTGAGACTCGTGCTTTTATTGTCTTTCTTTTGTCGTCTGTCTTTCAATAAATGGGACTACAGGTGAGAGAAATGTGTATCGAGGCAGGAAGACAACATTGAGAAAAAAGGGTCTATATTCGGATAAAGGTATGAGGAAGTCCTGCCCGCATAATTACGAAGTCTCACTACTTTTGCACCTCCCCTCGTATTTCCCTTAGAATTTACATTTGCAGAGTTTTCCCGCTTTTCGAAGTCTCCGAGCATTGTAATAATTTTTTTTTTCAGTCCCCATCGCTCTAAAAAAAAAATAGTCATTCATGAGATTAGAATCTAACGATGACGTTGGTGCTCGGCTTCTACCTTGTCTTTAACTTACTCTCCGGTTTCGGAAACTTGAATTTTCAGGGTTTTTTTTCAGACAGGAGGTACTTGTTTCTTCGTACATTCGTAACAGAGAAGTACGAAGAAATGAATGATCGTGAGATGCATGAAAATGCTCAAAAATGCGATTCGGGACGAAAATCAATCGATATCCAAAAAACCTCCCGAAATCTCCGAAGGGCAGAGAACGAACGATTACAAGTAAGATGGCCAAATTGACGTTGGCATATTGACGTTGACTGGCAGCATCAGTCGATTCTGCCCCACTTCCTCTGCCATTCTTTGTCTTTTTGCACCCGGAAACCACATTTTAGTGGCTTCATTACCATTTCTTCATTGCCATTACTTCATCAGTCCTTTATGACCCGGCTCCACCCGAAGCTTCGATTCCCCGAGACCCCATTTATTTTGCGGCTGCTGCCAACCGCTGATTCACTTCCTCTCGAACCAGACCCAAATTCAACAGATTTCGTCGGAATGAACCGATGGAAATCTCCAGAACGGATTTCGCAGGTGACAACTCTTTCTGGTGACATGTGACAGTTCCTTCCTTCCGGGTCGGTCACCTCTCTTAATGAATCCGTCTTTTGGAACCGCCACATACGAGCGCAACTTGTCCATTTGCAGGTCCGATCGGACGTGCGATATCGATGAGGGCGCGGAACTCCTCCACGATCGTATCGTGAGTCGAAGACGGACCTTTTCATAGGCTTCCCCATATTCGGAAGTTGGCACTTAGCGAGTCGATCGAGGTGGCAATGACCTGCTGCCAGGCACACCATTACGGGGGAAGGGGGCAAGGGGGATTTGGGCTTCATCCATCTCTTCTTTGGCCCCCTCCCGCACACACTGACACTCTAAACCCTTAGTACTTCGTTCAGCATCCCCTCCCCTCATCGATGTAAGATTGTTTTAAGAGATGGCACCCTACAGACTCGGATGCCCTGCCGATACGCTTCCCGTCCATCGTGCGACCAGCGAGAACATGGGTGTGAAAATGACTTTTGGAAGACACAAAAGGATTAGTTGCCGAGAGACGAGTTGTCCTTTCGTCGACTAAATACATTATTTCTTTGCCTCCGACAGCGAGGTGAGGAGAAATGGCTCCCTCCGGGAGTCTCTAACAAGACGGGTCACTCGTGGTCCGTCCTCCACCTGACCATCTTCTACCTCTGCCTGGCCTTGTTCGTCGCCGTGCTCCTGGTCCTCGGATGGCTCTGCCTCTGCCACGTCGAGAACGACGACGGGAGGAGAGAAAACGAACGGCCTTATCCTTCGCGGGCCCGTAACAAGGGCCCCACGCCCCATCTCACTCTGGCTCGATTCGAGAGGAAGAAGGGGAAGAGGGGTCTTCCTCCCTCGTCCAAGAGGATTTCCTCCAGGAGGGGGCCTCCCTCGCGACCTCCTCGATTATCCTGTCCAGCGTCCCGTGCCAAATCGTAGCAAGAGGAGTTTCAACCACAGTTTTCGCAAACGCACCATGTTCTTTGCGGAAATATCCCGTGAGTTGATACCTTGCACGTATTTTTCGTCATCTAAATTCCAATTAATGTCAACGTTTTCTTATTCGTATATTGTCTGAAGGACGGTAAAAGACTGCAGGAGAAAGGCTTAGAATTTTTTTTTAACGAAGAAGAATGGAACTTTATTCCCAGTCGGCTACCCAACAGCAGAAGAATGAAATCATGAAATCCAGACAATTGTTGACATAATGAAATGAAGTTCGCATCGGTGACGGCTTCTAGCGTCCCAAGACGCTTCCATGGACCGATCCACTCCCACCTGCAATCCGAAAAGAACAGATTTGGTAATGCATTCACTCTTTTCGAGAAAAAAAATGCTCGCCCGAGCCTTTTATCGATGTGCTGCCGTTGCTGATCGTTTGTCCATTGTCGCAGCAGAGGAGAGTTATCACAAATTTGCCGATGCGGTTTAATCCTGTCCGCGCTCGAATGATGTATATATTTTTCCCTCCGAAATTGACAAAGCGAACCGCCCGATAGATGAACCCCAGCAAACGTTCTAAAGCGGGAAAGTCTTACCGCCGTAGCTTCCCCCAGAGGCGCCGAAGGGTCCCGAACTGCCGTAGTTCCCTCCGTACCCGGACGACGTGGCCCCCCCGGTGACTCCACCCCCGGGTCCTCCCGCGTAGTTGCCCCCGAACCCAGCCCCGTGGTTCCCTCCGTAGACCCCAAAGGGACCGGATCCCCCGAAGCTCCCTCCGGTCGCTCCGCCGATCGCTCCCCCGCCGCCGAAGCCACCGAGCGGGTAGCCACCGCCGTAGAAAGTTCCCGAAGCCAGGCCGAGAACGGCCATCACACCAACGACCACCTGCGGTCAAGACACGAATGAGCCTCGAGAGCCCTTCACGATTGCGAACTATGAACAAGCTATTCCCAATTACAAATAAGTAGATTGAGATGTCAAAGTGAGAAACTCCGGGAAGGAATTTATGATCAAATTTTTTATATCAATGCCAGTCGAAAAGTCGCTGCGATCTTCATTGATATCCCTGATGGTTGAAGGCCGCCTTCTTGCAGGATAAGTACCATTAGTTCGGATTTTAGTGACAATGAGAAACAGTTCAAGGAGTTGAGGGTAAACATAAAATCTACTTGTATGAGTTTCGAGAAAACCTTGAGAGAAATCATGCGGTTTCGAGAAATCATGCGGTTGGACGGATAATGCAATTCTAAAGCCGCATTCATCGCGTAGCCTCTTTAAACGGTCTCAAGTTTCTGAAATTTTCCTAAGAAAAGCTAGCCACTTCTTCATGCGACACCTTTCGTATCCGGCCGCGGGAACTTTTTCCCCAAAGATAAATCAACGAATCAAGGAGTCTCCCCCCTCCCCCCACCCTCAGCAAACGAGCCCAAGAAACTCCTTGAAAGCCGAAGGACAACAGTAACTCTGCAAAAGTGTCGCGAAGCCAAACACACTCGAGCCATTCCCTTCCCCCAATCGTACAAGTGAGAGAGAAGGAACTCACGAGGAGCTTCATGATGAAGGAAGAGTAGCAGACTAGAGACGTTCCACGACTGACTGCTCCCGATTCCTCCCCTTCCCTTTTGTCTCCTTCAGGAGGTCACAGGAAGGGCAGAAGATGCCCGATAGCGACCGGACATCCCAACAGATATCCGACATCCTCTTCCTTTACTTTTGAGACGAAATTCCCAGTTTATTCTGCGTTCAGGTTACTTTCACCCCTTACCGCGGTGCAGGGATTGACACCGAGGAGGTATCGATGGTTTTCATGTTGAAACCACCTATACTTCCAAGCCCAGCTCTAAACTCGTCACGGCCAAGCTCATGCAGGTGATTAGGACGTGTCATGAGTCAAATTCGGGTGGGATGACTTGGTCCACGTCAGAAGGGAATTTTTAGGACTGTAGATCTGGGGTCAAGAGCTCACGAGCAAGGATAACGAGTATTATTAAAGCATTACGAGTAGCTCCATGCCTCCTCGTAGTGTAATGCAAAAGGGACAGAGCAATCATCGGCTGAAAATTTTCTACACGAATGTGCGCAGCTTGCGTAATAAAATGGATGGGCGGGGGAGGATTCCCCTAAACGGTCCGGATGTCATTGGAATAACTGAGACTTAGGGAACACTGGCATCACGGATAAGGAATTTCAAATTCAAGGGTTCCGCATCTCGAGTAAGGATAAGATGAAAAGGGTGGCGGAGTCATTTTGTATTACTAGATGCGAACTTGGATTTGGAGGATCTCGCTTCATTTAACTGCGGTTCAATCGAACACTTATGGCGCGAGATCGGTGAGGCGATAGTGAGGATCATGTTAGGAATTTCCTGTAAGCCGCCAAACTCTCCCCGAGAGGATTACTCCGCTTTTTATGCATTAATGAGTAATATCAACTAGAAGTCTGAAAAGGTTTGAAAAATTTTTTTTTTTCACGCCTAGCATGGATTGAAACGGTGCCACTTTGGGAGGGGGGGGGGGGGGGGGGGGGAAGGAAAAGGAAAGGGGGGGGGGGGGGGGGGTGGACGAGAAGGAAAAGGAATTTCTCATCGCGATCCAGGATGCCTACCCGAAATGCCGCTTTATTGGGTTTAGTTTGATGGATTTACATGGGCTGACGGTAGTGGAGCAGTGAAGGATTTTCAAGACGATATCACATGGCTTAATGGAGGTTGGCATCTCTAAGAAGTCATTCTTATATGCATTAGAAGTCTAGGAAGAAGAATAAGAAGCCTTACTTCATAGTCATTCTGGTTCGCAGGTAATATTAAGGCGCTGATCAGAGATAAGAAGCAGAAATGGGATTCGTATTGGCGCACCAGGCGGATTACGAGGAATATCAGACTGTTACGGGAGGATTAAATCAGGTAATTAGATCAGTGAAGGGCGTTGCTAAGAATAATCTCAAGGCGATCTGCCAGCGGCAGAATCAACATTCGATCGAACCCCTAAAGTACAAGTTGATCGCAAACAATGGTGGCAAGACCGTGAAATTAAAATTCTTCGTTTCCGTGTTCGCGAGCGAATCCGACGACGAACCAGCGACAGCGGAATCGCGCATCGAAGAATAATTGCCATCACCGAGAAAGTGATCATGAGTTTGATTGGGAAGTGAAAGGCAATTTGGCAATCATGGGATTCCGGCGAGTGTCGATACCGTTAAGAACATTCTAAAGTGGCTTTCAGTGTGGAGAAGTGCCTCGGGACTGGGAATTAGCGAATACCTTACTGATCTTTAAGAAGGGAGAAAAGAGGAATTCGAGTCAGTACAGACGGGTGAGTCTCACGAGTATTTGAGCATCTGCAGGGATCTTCAAATTCCTCGAGAGGAACGCGCGCATCCGAGACTCTCTGGCACTGCTTTAGGAGACGACGAATTGTCCTACAAACTTGCTCTTGTTTTACGGCACGAGGAACCGAGGGATGAGGGGAATCCCGTCTGCTTAGATTTCGCGAAAGCTTTCGATTAGTAACTGATTGTCGGGGAGAGAGCAGCGAGGAATGACTATAATGAAGTGTCGAAGGACTTCGGGGTCGCGAGCGGTGTCCCTCAGGATGAGGTTCTTCGAGACCGCTTCTTTTTGTGGTCTACATAACCGATCTAGATCAAGACCCCAGCGGTTGAAATCAGCAAATTTGAAGCCAAAATAGGTTCCTCCATCTACGGGGGGAGGGGGGGGGCCGTGCATGATTTACAGCTTTTGGAAGAGTGGAGTATGAAATGACTCTCGAGTTTTATTAAAAGTAAGCGTGAGGTTCTTTGCATCGGTCATTAATGACGACAGCTCTCTAATTGAGTTCGGCCGAGATAAACTAGAGGCGGCAAAGGGAGAGAGAGACTCAGGGATCACCATCGAGGAACTCCAGTTCTCACATGCGCAAGGGAAGTAGCCAAATGTAACAGGATTCTAGGCGCAATCCGACGTTCCATAGTCGATGAGAGCTCGCGCGTCATTCTTTCGTTGCGGCTTTGGTAAGGCCCGAATTTAGAGTATTGCGTTCGATTGTGAAGGACTGCAAATAAATGCGAACTGACGGCGATCGACAGGGTCCAGAGGCGAGAGAGAGCGATCAAAGAGGTAAGGGGGACACCCAGGGCCGGATTAAGAAGTTACGAGACCCGTGGCAAGTGAATTCTTGAGGCTCCCCCCCCCCCCCCCAGCTACTTTACGCAAATACAATACTTTTTTTGAACTTAACGTCTTTAATTTCCTTCGGGGGCCCCCTGGAAGAGTGGGGCAACTGCCCCCCCCCCCCCCCCCCCCCCCCCCCCCCCCCCCCAATTCGGGGGGGCCCCCTGGAAGAGTGGGGCCCGGGACAACTGCCCCCTTTGCCCCCCCCCCCCCCCTTAATCCGGCCCTGGGGACACCTATTTTACTAAAGTGCCATCTTTTCCGGTCCTTGACCATCACAAATCTGTTAGATTTGGTAACTTAGAAACAGTGCCCATGAAATGATGATGGAAGGATGGAGGGTGTGCGTGGTTGGATCCATCCGCCATGAAGGCTTGCAGAGAACTGAGAGCTCTGGTTACTGACACGGCACCACGCCCAAGGCCTGGGTCGTATGCGCATGCGCATTTTTGCCCACTTTGGGGCCCATGAATGCCCCGCCGTGACCGAACTTCAGTTTTTAAAACTCGCAATAAAAATGTCAATTTTGGTGCAAATTCTCCACAAAACGAATATCTATCTTCAGCCTGTATCTCCTCCATACCTACCTGCTTGCCAATTTTCACAGTGATTGGGCCAATATTTTCTTAGTTATCGTCGCACAACCAGTGTAGGCACACAGACTGACACACAGACGAACAGGACGGGATCATAAGCGGTCTCTTTCCTTTCAGGAAAGGAGGCCCACTAAAAAAAGGGAGCAATGTGGATGTGCGAGACTAGGTGTAGATTCTCCCACAAAAATTTTCATCTCGAGGAGAAGGCCTATCTTGTGATACGTGAACGCTTGACCTTGACACGGGATGTCCTAATGGGCAGAAATCCCTCTTGACGTCCCTGCCCTAACCTTGAATCTTGAACTTTGGCTCGATTCCAGAGGAATGTCCTCTTGGTCCCTCGTCGAACAGGATTTCCTTGAAGGGTCTCGCCCTTCCCTCCCCCACGTCCTGTGTCAAGTCCTCTCTTCTCGCAAAGAAACGCGCAATGTGTCTTTTGCTAAAATATCCCGTGAGCTCATCATTTTACATCTTTAAATACGTGGGTATTCTTTTTAATCAAAATTCCAATTAGGGTCGGTTTTTCAGCCGTATGTAGTCTGCAAGCAGTGGCGTAGCGAGGAGGAGGGGAGGGGGGGAGGTTTGGTTCTAGCCCCCCCAAACTCTAGTCAAAATGCGTCCGATTCCCCCCCCCCCTCCCCTCCCTCCGCTCAAGAAGTTATACTAGTCCCCCTTCTGTTCCTCTTAGTCCCGCTTTTGGCGAAACCTGGCTAGGCCACTGTCTGTAAGACCGTAAAAGGCTGCAGGAGTGAAGTTGAGCACTTTTTTTAATAGAAGAAAATGGAACTTTATTCTCAGTCGGCTACTCTACAGCAGAAGAATGAAATCCAGGCAAGTGTCGGCATGATGAGATGAGCTTCGTATCGTTGATGTCTTCTAACGCCCCGAAACGCTTCCGTGGACCGATCCACTCCCACCTAAATCAGAAAGAACGCAATTCGTCCTGAATTCACTCTTTTCGAGAACGCTTGCTTGAGCTTTGTATCGATGAGTTGCCGTTTCTGATCGTTTTTTGAATCAGCGCCAGGAGCCACATTTTGGCCAGATGTCTCAATTTCGGAAGTACGGTTTAATCCTACCGATACTCCCATCTGTTCTTTCTCCGAAATTGGGAAAGCGATGGGCCGGTATCAGCGAACGTCGTAAAGCGAGAAAGTCTCACCGCTGTAGCTTCCCCCGGAGGCTCCGAATGGTCCCTGATTGCCGTAGCTCCCTCCGTACCCGGACGACGTGGCCCCCCCGGTGGCTCCACCCCCTGGTCCTCCCGCGTAGTTGGCCCCGAACCCAGCCCCGTGGGTCCCTCCGTAGACCCCACCGGGACTGGATCCCCCGAAGCTCCCTCCGGTCCCCCCGCCGATCGCTCCCCCGCCACCGAAGCCACCGAGCGGGAAGCCACCGCCGATCGGATAGCCGCCACCTCCGTAGAGATTTCCCGACGCCAGGCCGAGAACGGCCATCACACCGACTACCACCTGCGGTCAAGACACGAGTGAGCCTCGAGAGTCCGTCACCAAATCTTCTTTCAAAACTCAGTTAATGGAGTTCCTTGAAATCCCTTCAGCAGATGGATGAAATCTTATGGAAGGAATTAATGCCCAAAGTTTTAATCCTCCTGAACGTGCTACGATCGATTCCAATCGAAAATGTCGCTGTAATCCACAATTACGTCCCTTATCGTTTAAGTCAATGACATCCCTGATCCTAACTTATTGCATTCGTCCTGCAGGGTGAGCACTTAAAGTCTGGGATATCACCATGACAGAACGCTTCAAGAAACTCGAGGTTCACATTCCGTCCTCCCCATAAAATGTACATGGATCACTCTTCTCTGCGTCCTGTTACCTCAGCCCTTGCCCTTATCAGCAGCGGGATTGAAATTTCACATGCCCCCTTTTTTCAACGAATCAAGAAGTGAAACTTTTTAGGTTTCATGAAACACCCTCATCCGAAGAGAGCCTTTCATTTTCCCCCGTGCACCAAGCCTTTTACAACTACAACGATGGATTCTCCCTCCCCCCTCCCTTAAACGAACCCAAGGAAGCCAACTGACAACGGAGAATAACGGTTCGCGAAGCCAAATGCTCTCGAACCATTCCCTCCCCCCAAAGAGAGAGAAGAAGGAACTCACGAGAAACTTCATGATGAAGGAAGAGCAGGGGACTCGAGACGTTCCACGACTGACAGCCTCCAAGTCCCCGCCGCGCTTTTTGCCTCCTCCTGAAGGTCACGGGAAGGGTAGAACCAGCCCGATAGCAGCCGGACGGCTCGACCGATATCCGACATCCTCTTCCTTTTTTCTGTGAGACGAAAAACCCGATTTCTCTCCACATGTCCGCGAAACAGATCGCGTGTGCTTTTTTTTAAAGCGGAGACGCCTGGGTTCAAGTCCTGGATATACTAGTTTTTTCCCTACCTTGTCTATACCCGAAGGTAGGACGAAGGTGGCTGTTGGACCCAGATGACCCTTGAATTGGCACGAAAACATTTCTCGCTTGGCGGGTATGAGCTTACACATCGAACCCTGCCGCTATTGATTCATTACTCTCTTTTTTGGCGCAATTTTGTCATCGTGCCAAAACAGTTGGACGCAAAATGCCTTAACTTCAGATGAATATTTGCGGTTGCGATGGGCGTGCGCACGTTTCTTATCCTTCGTTTAATAAAAAAAAATTATCTGAGGCGAATGATAAAATTCCCAAAAAATGTAGCAGGTTTTCTTCAGAATTTAGATTTAGCAGAATTTAGCAAGAAAAGCATTTCCGGCGGGAAATTCAACCGGCACACCAAGTGCAAAGTAAAGTCCGTATGGAACCACAGCCAATAATAATTACTTTTTTGTTTAAAAATATATATTTATAATTATTATTATGAAAAATAACTTGACTTTCACATCACCAACCTATCGCGTCATTCCACTTGGAACAACTTTATGCTATTATGATTATGAAATAATTGAGCTTAAATTAATAAATAAACAAGATTATTCTAACTAATTACAAATAAGCAACTTATTTTTATATTAGCTCAAAGAACTTCGAAAACGGAGGATTATTGGTTTTATATGCAAAAACTCATAACAGCATGGAAAAATATTGCGAGACTTTCTGCAGAAAGAATTTGCTTTCTGCAGTTTTTTCCTTCCCAAGTCTGGGTCTAACCAGAGCAGAAGATCGGGCATCACTGCTATCTATTTTCAATGCCTGCATCAGATCAGAAGCTTGTGCATCACTGCTTCCTTGTTACGCAACCGCGGCGGAGCACAGTTTCATTCATGAATTTCGTACTCTAACGCACAATTTACTCGGGAATCGTAGAAAATTCCATTCGAAGATATTAGATTGATTGATTGATTTCTTCAATGGTGCTTGGTGCGTAATAAAGGGTGTCCATAAGTAATAAAATAAAGGGTGTCATAATAAAGGGTGTATATTAGTTGCCCATTTATATGTGCAACTAATTTATTAATGGATGTAACGTAATCATCTGTTTTATGTGGGCGGACTGAAGACCTCAAATTTCACATTTGGGACGGCCGAGAATTAATTCCTCTGGCCAAAATCGATCTTCTAACCTTTTTCGATCTTTTTTTTTTTTTTTAATCCAAATTTTTGTCTGGAAGAGTCGATGCGACCTTAAGTTCGGATTGTTGCTGTCCTTTAAGGACACACCGTACCATAATCATTAAAAGTTGAGCTTTGGAGCGGAGCGAGGTCAAAGGTCACGGACGACCTCATGTTATTTAAAGAACAAATTGAAAGTTCTTTTATTGAGCCTTCAAACCTGAAGCACAAGTTCAATTGTCAAATTTGCCAAATTTGTGAACTTTTTCTGCCAATTGCAGTTGACGGTGCGAACTCGGAACATCGATTAAATTAGTAAGATGAGCCAAATGCGTTCCAATAAAAAAAAATTATTAGTTTGCTTCCATCCGTGTAAAAAACCAGCTCTTGTGTTTGCTTCATGGACTCCATCTTGAATGAACTAATCGGTCGTGATTCTATGGTCGACCTCGCCGAAGATGGGTCGACCTCGCCGAAGATGGGTCGACCTCGCCGAAGATGGGTCGACCTCGCCGAAGATGGGTCGACCTTGGC